TAACGGATTAGTCATCTACGCTGTTCCATTCACAGTGGATTCGAAATTAGTCAGATGATCCAGCTGTACTTCCAGTTGAAGTATTCCCGTAGAGTTTCCTAATTGCTGCCATTCTGAAAACACTAGAAGATTGTTCATGGTGGTACAGTAAAATGTCCATGTGCTGACCATTTGTCGCTAAAGATTGCTTAAAAACACAAATAAGTAAAAGGGACAAATAACTGCTATCTTTCTACAAACTCGCTCTTGGACGCGATAGGCACTCCATCGTGTTACATAGAAAACCGAGCTACGAAACTGGATCAAACTGAGCCGACAATTTAACCTTTAGATAATTTTCAACTTTAACACGCTACTTTCTTGATCTGTTTATGTTCCATCGTCGTTATTCGAACTGCCGACCACAAAATTCTGCACGGTATAATCGCATAATTTGTCAAACAGTAGAAAACATGTCATTTCTTGAGAGGCTCAGGCTGTCATGCATATTGCACGCGTTTGCAAAAGGTTACCAAGGTCACAAATCCAATTTACGGATTTCACGTTCCTTTCGACCGCGAAATCCGGCAAATCTCGGATCAGAAATCCATTTTTGGATTCGCTTAAAGGAACACTGTCAGCACACCTTAAGTGATCCACGTTCAACATTTTAAGACTAACTGACCAGATAAATCGTACGTGAAGGCCGGTTAACGGTGGTCTACGCTGTGCGGTGCTCAAGTTACCTGGTCCCTAGTCTCTCCACCGTCGTCACCGTCCGACAGAGGTCGACAAGGATGTGAGAAGTTCAGAAACAAGCAAAGTATTCACCATTTTCACATAGACCATGATTCACCTTGTTTACCCCCCAAAACTTTGCATAACCATTGTTTTTGATTTCTCTTGAGACGACTGTAATACCCTGGAGAATTTGGAAACATTGGTTATGCAAAATTCTGAGGGGGAAAACAAGGTGCGTCATGGTCTATATGAAAGTAGTGATTACAAGAGATGTAAAGCGTGCGTAAATTAAGCTATTTGACGGACAACCTAGTCCCAAGGTCTCCCAGGAGTTGTGCGGCGTTGCGTAAATGAAGACTACGCGACGAGCCAACGCGACGCGCTCAGGAGGGTCTACTGAAACTCCCTGACGAGAGACAACCTCTGAAGCGCAAGGAAAATTGACGAAAATTACTTCTTCTTGGCACTCAGACTGGTGATAAATTAGCCAAACCACCGTTCTTTGTCGCATATTCTCGGCTTTGCCGTCACTGTCGCAATTTGGCCGAGGGAGGTTGTCGCTTATCGCCATTTCATTTTAGGCTCTGTCGCGACTTTTTGGGTCATGTCGCTTGTCGGAATTTACCCTGGCAGGGCCTCCTTATGCTCATCCATTAAGTTGTCCGCGGAGGAGCGTAACGCCTGGACCGCTAAACTTCGGACTGCTCCCTAGTATGAGACTGGTTGTGATGTGAATAAACACAGAATCATTCTAGAGCAGTCCCATTATGCTATGAATTGACACTTATCTTTTTCTTTGTCCCAAAAAATTTACAGTACATACTACTCCTCACTGAGAAACAAAACAGAAACGATGTGAACGAGCCCAAAAGTGTAACCTCACATTCTGTCATGCAGATATTAACCAATCGGAAGTGGAGGACAGTTTCCAGCTGGCTTCTTATTGGATTAAATCTGCACGAAAGAATGTGAGGTCATACTTTTGGGCTCCTTGCTGTAAACATTCTAACTTGCCTTAAGGAACACGGACTGTGAAAGTTTTGCTTTGTTATTTCTTGGTTTCGTCTCACGATGAGCTTTGACAATAAGCTTTTTCTTTTCGCGGATTCTAAAGTAAAGAGAAAATTGCGCTCAGAAAGCTTTAACCAAGACAAGTAAATTCAGAGAGTCGCTAATATATAATTAAACATATAAGTCACTGTTCAGCTTTATTTCTTATATCCTCTTCTTCAGAGTCCAATTCCTCCTGTAAAACGAGACAAATACCATAAAAAAACCTCAGAAACGATTATCAATAATTCGAGAAGTGACCAGTAACCACGATAGAGGAAAGTCAGGCGACCCGCTAGAGAGCATTTAACCCTGTGCATACAGGGCTGTGGGAACTATAGAGACCAGCCTCTATAACTTCAAAACCGCACATGCTCAGACCACCAAAATTATACAGTAAAAACACTATGGGTATCTTGGCAAAAATCTTGGTAAGATTTACTACGGGTATCTTGGCAAGAATATTGGTAAGAATTACTATGGGTTTCTTGGCTAGAATCTTCGCAAGAATTACCACAGGGATTCTTGGCAAGAATTACTACGGGAATCGTGGAAAGAATCATGGCAAGAATTACCACGGGAATATTAGCAAGAATCTTGGTAAGAATTACCACGGGAATCTTGGTAAGTATCTTGGTAAGAATTACTACGGTAATCTTGGCAAAAATCTTGGCAAGAATGACCACGGGAATCTTGGCAAGAATCTTGCTAAGAATTAAAATGGGTATTTTGGCAAGAATCTTGGAAAGAATTAGAACGGGAATCTTAGCAAGAATCTTGGTAAGATTTACTATCGGTACCTTGGTAAGAATCTTGGCAAGATTTAACATGGGTATCTTGGCAAGAATGTTGGTAAGATTTGCTATAGATATCTTGGCAAGAATCTTGGTAAGAATTACTATGGGTATCTTGGCTAAAATCTTGGCAAGAATTACCACGGGGAATTTTGGCAAGAATTACCACGGGAATCTTGGCAAGAAATCTGGTAAGAAGTACAATAGGTATCTTGGAAAGAATCTTGGCAAGAATTACAACGGGAATCTTGGCAAAAATCTTGGTAAGAATCACTAGGGTAATCTTGGTAAGAATCTTGGCAAGAATCTTGGCAAGACTTACCACGGGAACCTTGGCAAGAATCTTGGCAAGAATTACCAGAGGAAACTTGGCAAAAATCTTGGTAAGAATTACTACACAAATCTTGGCAAGAATCTTGCTAAGAATTACCGCGGGGATCTTGGCAAGAATCTCGGCAAGTATTGCCACAGGAATCTTGGCAAGAATTACCACAGGAATCTTGGCAAGGACCTTGGCAAGAATTACCACGGGAATCGTGGCAAGAATTACCACAGGAATCTTGGCAAGAATCTTGGTAAGAATTAGTACGGGAATCTTGCCAAGAATCTTGGTAAGAATTACCGCGGGGATCTTGGCAAGAATCTCGGCAAGAATTGTCACAGGAATCTTGGCAAGAATTACTATGGGTATCTCGGCAAGAATCTTGGAAAGATTTACTATAGGTATCTTGACAAGAATCGTGGTAAGAATTACTATAGGTATCTTGGCAAGATTTACTATGGTTACCTTGGTAAGAATTACTATGGGTATCTTGGCAAGAATCTTGGCAAGAATTATCACGGGAATCTTGGGAAGAATTACTATGGGAATCTTGGCAAGAATTATCACAGGAATCGAGGCAAGAATCTTGGTAAGAATTACTACAGGAATCTTGGCAAGAATCTTGGTAAGAATTACCGCAGGATCTTGGCAAGAATCTCGGCAAGAATTGCCACAGGAATTTTGGAAAGAATCTTGGCTAGAATTACCATGGGTATCTCGGCAAGAATCATGGTAAGATTTACTAAAGGTATCTTGGGAAGAATCTTGGTAACATTTACTATGGGTATGTTGGCAAGAATCGAGGTAAGAATTACTATGGCAATCTTGCCAAGAATCTTGCCAAGAATTACCGCAGGAACCTTGGCAAGAATCTTGGTAAGAATTACTACAGTAATCTTGGCAAGAATCTCGGCAAGAATTGCCAAAGGAATCTTGGCAAGAATCTTGGCAAGAATTACTATGGGTATCTCGGCAAAAATCTTGGTATGATTTACTAAAGGTATCTTGGCAAGAATCTTGGTAACAATTACTATGGGTGTGTTACCACGGGAATCTTGGCAAGAATTCTGGTAAGAAGTACAATTGGTATCTTGGCAAGAATCTTGGCAAGAATTACAACGGGAATCTTGGCAAAAATCTTGGTAAGATTTACTATAGGTATCTTGGCAAGAATCTTGGTAAGAATTACTATCACTAGCTTGGTAAGAATCTTGGTAAGATTTACCATGGGTATCTTGGCAAGAATCTTGGTAAGAATTACTACGGGAATCTTAGCAAGAATTTACTTTAGGTATCTTGGCTACAATCTTGGCTAGAATTACCAGGGGAATCGTGGTAAGAATCTTAGTAAGATTTACTATCAGTAGCTTGGAGAGAACCTTGGTAAGAATTAATACGGGTATCTTGGCTAGAATCTTAGTAAGATTTACTATCAGTAGCTTGGTAAGAATCTTGGTAAGATTTACCATGGGTATCTTGGCAAGAATCTTGGTAAGAATTACTACGGGAATCTTAGCAAGAATTACCACGGGAATCTTGGAAATAATCTTGGTACGATTTACTTTAGGTATCTTGGCAAGAATCTTGGTAAGAATTACTATGGTTATCTTGGCAAGAATCGTGGTAAGATTAACTATGGCTATCTTGGCAAGAATTTTGGTATGAATTAGTATGGGTATCTTGGCAAGAATTATCACCCAAATCTTGGCAAGATTCTTGGCGAGAATTAGCACGGGAATCTTGGAAAGATTCTTGGTAAGATTTACTATAGGTACCTTGGCAAGAATCTTGGTAAGATTTACTAAAGGTATCTTGGCAAGAATCTTGGTACGAATTAGTATGGGTATCTTGGCAAGAACTTTGGTAAGAATTACTATGGTTATCTTGGCAAGAATCTTGGTAAGATTAACTATGGGTATCTTGGCAAGAATCTAGGTAAGAATTAGTATGAATAACTTGGGAAGAATTATCACCCAAATCTTGGCAAGATTCTTGGCAAGAATGACCCCGGGAATCTTGGAAAGAATCTTGGTAAGATTTACTATAGGTATCTTGGCAAGAATCTTGGTAAGATTTACTATCGGTACCTTGGTAAGAATCTTGGTAAGATTTAACATGGGTATCCTGGCAAGAATGTTGGTAAGATTTACTATAGGTATCTTGGCAAGAATCTTGATAAGAATTACTATGGATATCTTGGCAACAATCTTGGCAAGAATTACTATGGAAATCTTGGCAAGAATCTTGCTAAGATTTACTATAGGTATCTTGGCATGAATCTTGGTAAGAATTACTATGGGTATCTTGGCTAAAATCTTGGCAAGAATTACCACGGAGAATTTTGACAAGAATTACAACTGGAATCTTGGGAAGAATTCCTGTAAGAAGTACAATGGGTATCTTGGCAACAATCTTGGCAAGAATTACAACGGGAATCTTGGCAAAAATCTTGGTGAGAATTACTATGGGTAACTTGGCTACAATCGTGGCTAGAATTACCAGGGGAATCTTGGTAAGAATCTTAGTAAGATTTACTAAAGGCATCTTGGAGAGAACGTTGGTAAGAATTAATATGGGTATCTTGGCTAGAATCTTGGTAAGATTTACTATCGGTAACTTGGTAAGAATCTTGGTAAGATTTACCATGGGTATCTTGGCAAGAATCTTGGTAAGAATTACTACGGGAATCTTGGCAAGAATTACCACAGGAATCTTGGCAAGAATTACCACGGGAATCTTGGACAGAATCTTGGTATGATTTAAAATAGGTATCTTAGCAAGAATCTTGGCAAGAATTACAACGGGAATCTTGGCAAAAATCTTGGTAAGATTTACTATCGGTAGCTTTGTAAGAATCTTGGTAAGATTTACCATGGGTATCTTGGCAAGAATCTTGGTAAGAATTACTACGGGAATCTTGGCAAGAATTACCACAGGAATCTTGGCTAGAATTACCACGGGAATCTTGGAAAGAATCGTGGTACGATTTACTTTAGGTATCTTGGCAAGAATCTTGGTAAGAATTACTATGGTTATCTTGGCAAGAATCTTGATAAGATTAACTATGGGTATCTTGGCAAGAATCTTGGTAAGAATTAGTATGGGTATCTTGGCAAGATTCTTGGCAAGAATTACCACGGGAATCTTGGAAAGAATCTTGGTAAGATTTACTATAGGTATCTTGGCAAGAATCTTGGTCAGATTTACTATGGGTATCTTGGCAAGAATCTTGGTCAGATTTACTATGGGTATCTTGGCAAGAATTATCACAGAAATCTTGGCAAGAATCTTGGTAAGAATTACTATGGTCATCTTGGCAAGAATCTTGGTAAGATTAACTATGGGTATGTTGGCAAGAATCTTGGTAAGAATTAGCATGGGTATCTTGGCAAGAATTATCACCCAAATCTTGGCAAGATTCTTGGCAAGAATTACCACCGGAATCTTGGAAAGAATCTTGGTAAGAATTACATGAGGATCTTGGCAAGAATCTTGGTAAGATTTACTATAGGTATCTTGGCAAGAATCTTGGTAAGAATTAGTATGGGTATCCTGGCAAGAATTATCACGGAAATCTTGGCAAAAATCTTGGTAAGAATTACAAGGTGTATGTTGGCAAGAATGTTGGTAAGAATTGCTTTCGATATCTTGGCAAGAATCTTGGTAAGATTTACTTTGGATATGTTGGGAAGAATCTTGGGAATTTTACTATATGCAGCTTGGCAAGAATCTTGGTAAGAACTACTATGGGTATCTTGGCAAGAATTTTGGTAATAATTGCTTTGGATATCTTGGCAAGAATCTTGGTAAGATTTACTATGGGTATGTTGGCAAGAATCTTGGGAATTTTACTATAGGTATCTTTGCAAGAATCTTGGAAAGAGTTACCACGGGAATCCTTGTAAGAATTACCACGGGAATCTTGGCAAGATTTACTACAGGCCAACATTAACACTTACGTCTCACTTGAGGCAAAATGTTGGATTAAGGGAGGGGCAGGTGGGCAAAATGATGATAATGATCCAAAAATCTCTAAGACACTCTCTTACTGGTTCTGAGTCATAAAGCCCTTCAGCCTCGCGGAGTTCCTCTTCTTTCTCCAACTCTTCTAATTTCTGTAATGAAAGAAATTCAAATATTTTACTTTTGTGATAACGGTAAGGCGCATGGAGAATCGGACACTAAACTAGCAAATTTTGGTCAGCCAATGTCTGATGACCGACTGTTATTTGCAGCCCCGTAAGCGCAAAGGCATTGATATGAAAATTAGTTTTGTTATCATGCAAATAAAACTCGTTTTCACAAGAAAGGTTTTGCATTTAGCCTCATTTTGAAAGTGAGAGTTTTTGGAACTAGGAAATGGCCTTCATTTGTATTGCCAAGTCTATTGATTGATTGATCGATTGACTGATTTTTTGTAAACACATCTAACCAATTATTAAACAATTAATTCATTTATTGTAGTGACATATACAAATCTCAGATTAGGCAGATTAAAAAGGACACAAAGTTGTGCTTAGGGCTCTTCTCTTGGTTTGACCTGCTACTTTTCACATAAAGAAATTGAAACTTTAGCACTACAACTCCAAGTTGAAGCCTCACCTTCATAATATCTGGATCAATGAAGTCAGCCACATTCTTTCCAAGGTAAATCTCTGGTAAAATATCATGTTTCTCGTCACCTTTTTCCAGATCCCAATGCTCCCGCATATCTATGTAGTAATCTTCTCCCATCTCAATCTCCAGTTCTCTGGCCAGTTTGCGCTTGGGCTGGGCTCCTTCAACAACCATAGCCTGCCTTTTGTCCAGTACAGCCTGTATATGAAGTAGCACAAATAAAGTTTGAATCAGTATTATAAGACAATCCAAACTCTCTCTGTGGACATAATTTCTTGCAATGTGACACAGTATAGATCTAATAAATACATGTATTACAATCACCTTGACAGAATGGTTACTAACAGTAATATTTAAAACAAATGAAGAACGATCCTCAAGAGTTGTGAACGCATAATTTATGCAATTGCGTAAGAAGCCTGAAAAAAGCATTCGGGAAAAGTATAGCTACAGGTGTTGCATAATAACTTAAGCACAGTTCTTCTGTAATTTGAATTCCCCAAAAACTTCACTTGCCCGTTCACAAAGTTAAGAAGAGAATTCAATAGCCTGATAGAAAAATCCACTAAACCCTGGGCTTTCTTTGTACGCTTTTTATTTAGTACTCTTTGTTTATCTTTAAGCTCTCCAAAAGGGACAATGCAAACAAAAATGTGATGTGTTCACTCTCTATTTACACAGAACTCAATGTTTGTGCATGGTTGGTGCTGTTTATGCCAATAAAACAAACAGTTATCTAGTGTGGTATTTTTTTCTACATTACTGCGTTTTTCAAAAACACGTGAACTCCGAAGCTCAAAAGCCAACCAACGTTTGTGTTTTTCGCTGCCGTCAATCATCTTAGCGGACCTCTCAGGAAACAGAACTTTACTTAAATGGGTTCAAAAGGTCATGGTTTGTGATCTGTGATTGGCAGATTTCGATCCGTTTTGTGTGTTTCCTTTTTTCAAGGTTCATTGCTTGTGATGGTAAAAGTGTAGTTATGATTGAGGGCAGCAAAAAACGCAATTGTGAAGGCGGCTTTTGAACTAGAAAGCTTGCATATTTGTGAAAAGCACAGTAACGGAGTCCATACTAAGCAGCACAAACTTCCATGAGAGTTCACCTATTTCTTGTACAACTAGTGTTAACCTACCAAGACAATTTTCTTATGTGATCAATGCCCTAACTCTCACTATTTCTTTATTAAATTACACATTGATTCCTTGGAAAGAAAGTCGATACTGATCACCGTGGGCTTTAGGGATTGACTACAGTTCTTTTATAAGATGTTCGGGATAGTGCGGCATTACCTGAGGAATGCAGGGTGGTCTCTCTTTCTGATCTCTCTGTGTTGGCATGGCAACAGGAAGTCTGTTCATGATATCTGATGTTTTTTTGCTCTTCATCTTTATTTCAACTCTCTGAGCTAGGAGCTGATCACAAGCTTGCTTCATTTCTGAGAGTCATCACCCCTTCTGCACTAACTGTACTCATTGGAAGAAGGGTAACACCTACAGAAACAGCCAGGAGTTTATCTCTATGTTCTTTCTCTGTTCATACACAGAAAAAATTTCAATAATGTACAAACATACACTGCCTTAATATAGCAAGTTCTGATTAAGGGGGAGAGACTTGCGATGTTTACACAAGTCAAGTAAACTTAACTTCTAAGTTAACCGTTTAGGATAATGATGAGGATGATGTATGTAGCCTGTGGACAAGCTCTCCTCTTTAGGCGAGCCAAGTGAGCCACACGAGAATGCGCAAGAGAGCGAGCGACAAAGCCATGAGAGGCCAAGGAAAGGAGAGCTTGCAACAATCTATCATAAATTTTCATTTGTACATGTACTTTGCCCAGAGGAAGAGAAAAATGATGTTCCGGAAATCAAAGTTGATTGATAACAGGCCTGTCTAGATCAGGGCAAATGAAGTATCACCAAAACCTGTGTTATGTCGGCGATTGCTGAACTCACTTTGAAAAAGAAGACTGGTAGAGGCACAAAATCGCTTTCTCCTTCTGTGAAAGACAACTTTCGTCTGTGTGTAATTCTCACAAAGTTGTATGCGTGAAAGTGTTGCCAATAAAATGTTGCGAGCTGAGGATTATCAGAAAATCAGAACCCTTCATCAGTTGTATTTGTTTGTATCAACTGCCTTGTTTAGTTCTGAAAATGAGAAGAGTGAAAGTGAGGATAGATTTGAGCGTGTGGTTCATGCAGTGCCTTCCAATGTTGCTTTTTTCGCCTAATTGAACTCCACTGGGTAGAAAATTCAGAAACTGGTACGTGACAGTGTAGAAGACGAAGAATTAGCAGCTGACCATCAAGAAGGTCAATAAAAAGAGTAGGAAGCAACTGAGGAGTAAAACGTAAGAGAACCACGTCCAGGAAAAAGCTCTTCTCCAGTCGGAAACAGACAAAAATATACTGTGTTTCAAAAACTGGTGATTGTGACGGGGAGTGTAGTCTTCTGACTATGGATGACATTTAAAATGTAAACAAAATGAGAATCTAAG